GCGCTGCATTACCCAAATAACTCTTCAATCGGAGACTCTTGACCTCTCTCTCTCTCTCTCTCCCTATTCGGTTGCGCAATAGAACATCGCCTTCAAATTACACTCCTACAACTCTCGCCATAGAGCTAAGTTTCTGGTATATTCCTCGTGTGCGGCTGCGTGTACGCAAACATTTTTGAGATCACTTTCACTCTTTCGCTCTCCTCTATGCGGCGAACCGGTCGCACTCAGCCGCGCGGCCGCCGAGAAAGAGAAGAGAACGTGCGCGCGCCATGTAAATTAACGAGGTCCAGGGAGCCAAGAGGAAAAGATGCGTTACGCGCGTGCGTGCTTTTGTCGTGATTGGTCATCGTTCGTTAATTAGGTCAAGCGTCTATTATATTTTCTTTTACTTCAATGGGAAATTTTTAGGGAAGCGTAAGAAGCTGACTAGTAAGGATGAGATGTAGTTGTTCATCGTTTCGAACTGCATTTTCATTTTTTTATTTTAATGAGAGATTTCGTTTGAGTTGACGGATAGTTATCACGTAACTGAAAACTTCCAAAGAATTTTAATTAGAACTGACGATAGACGTGTTTTTATTTTTTTTTTTTTGCATGCGGCTGATTTAAGTCTTGAGAGCCCAATCCGTGATGAGTGTGACCCAAATAACAGCGTCTTTTTCAAAAAGATTCTTGCACAAATCAATATAAATCGATCTATTGGCACACACATACGAGCGTAAAATCTCACGTCGCAGGACCATCAACACGAACAATGGTAATTAATTTCTCTCGATGTATCGTAAAAATAAAACTGTAGAGCCGATTAGTCATTTTTTTCAGTGAAAATGGTTGTTACGCAGCGTAGCAGTAGGAGCTGCACTCGCGGTGAGTGACTTGCATCGTTAAAAGTTCTCCATCTTACCATCGTGTTATTTCTTTGAGTTATCGTTCGTTCTCACCCATACACAGACACACACGACGCGTGCATTATATCATTCTTTTCATCGCGCACGTCTGATCGTTACTTCGTTGTTTCACTTTCAGAGCAAATTACTTAAGCATTGTAAATCAGCAGAATTATGAAGAAAGAAGAACCTTTACGTCTCAATCTCGTTCTTGCTCTTGCGAGCTTTTGAATATATTGCTTCTCGCATTTTTCGCATTAATAAATATCCCTGTGTGACTTCTTTCTTTTGCACAAAAATGATTTCCAAATAATATTTACAGAGGGTATATGGCTGTCGGTGACATTTACGAATTTAAACTTAAATCTTACACATCAATACTGACCAGAGTCAGTACCGTGAAGCAGCGGATCTGTGAATATCACGGCTGTCATTACGTGCAGACAGTCGTCGAGTCATTCACTTCTCTTCTCTTACGAAAGGAGGTCCCTCTCTCGGCATCGGCACTTGACCGTCAAGGTTATTATCCGTACTATCAAAAACCTGAACGACTTTTAATTACACGCGAAGGACGAGATCTGCTGTACAGCCTTGCGACATTTTTTTCAAAATGATGAATGTCGTAATTAGGCTTTCATAATTTTCATTTACGATCTATATTCGCCAGATGGAACTGTAACAACCTGTTATGGTTGTATAGATACAGTAAACAATTTTTAATTTGTTTTGTAACTTTATGTACTTTTACTTACATATAAATGTAAAATGTAGACGAGTAGCTTATCTAAGAACGTGTAAAAAGTATTTATACGGTGAATTTACTTGATTTATGATAATCTTCATGACGAAGAAAATTAATCACATACGCATGTTCGTTTTTGTTACAATGCTAATTGTGGCATTAAAAAAATTTGCTTTTTCCTAGAAGAAAGTTAAAGTGAGCAGAAGAAGAAAATAAATAGGGTTTTTTTCAAAATCGAAGGTTGTGTCGTTGTCTCTTAATGAAGCGAAGGTAATTTTCTTTTCTACGTTGTATTTTGCAAGATCATAGTTATAAAACTTAACTCGAGGAATAACGTCTGATTGTGCGTGTTGCAACGGTGCTTTTGAAACTTTTCTTTCGATAATTTTACGACGAAACATATGAAATTTCTTTAGCGATAACCAATTGTAAAATAATAAAAAAAATCGATGAGGAATCTGTTTTGAAAAATTATTATTTGAGTAATTTATTGATAGATCTTTAATTTCTAGAAGGGTAAATAATGTTATGTATAAATCACGAGATGATTCACTCGCGTGATCATTCGACTCTGTAATTTCGAGTAAATCGTGAGTTACACATCAATATTTTCGAGTATTTCAAGATCGTCAAAAGGCTACTCAACCTCGCCATTAAAAATGGAACTATCATTCACCAAACTTTTATGTCTCATATTTTCAACCAACATCTGAAATTTTCCTACTTCCACCGAGTCTACATGCTGAAAATATAGTTTGCTACTTTTAGTGCGTTAATCTCGTAGTTTAACGATCATTTATAAAAACGTCAAAGAAAACCTCGAAAAAATAGATTGTTTACGCAGAAAACGTACTTGACAGATGATGTTCATTCGAATCAAAACAAGGATGTTTTATATCTATATGATACATCAATCACACTACGAAATAGATTCTTTTTTTATTGTAATTTTCGTACTTCACATTTCAGGGCAACATGCAGATTTCAAGTTTACACCCGAGGATTTTGCACTAAAAATATAGCCAAACAACCGCGAAGAAAAGTGATCCCCTTGAACAGCAAGGTAGTCATAGATACGTAAGTTCAGGATGCTCGCGAAATTAAAATCATCATATATGTGAGTTTTCACGATACTCGAGGCACCGGAAACTGCATCAGCCGGAAAGACGATGTCGCTCGTTAGTGGTAATGGTAACGAAATCGTGTGGTTTTCGCTCGCGCTTGGTCTGGATTTTCTAACTTCTAGCGAGAGTAACCTTTAACTTTCGTATTTAATGGTTTTCCACTTGCAGAGAACTGTATCGATCGATGATAAGATGCACGGGAATTCTCGTGCTTGTCGCGATCAATTTTTTTAACGTGCCGAACGCAAAAAAAAATTAAAACGTGTGCCTACGTTAGGTAACGGCGAGAGGTGTGCCACGTGAGATACTAAATGTAAAATTATCAACCTAGAGCGGTACATTTCAACTTCCTCAAGCGGTGGTTAAATATATTGCTATTGGTGTGTTATTACACTTCTTGAAGCTCCGTTTTTCAAGTAACTTTTGAAATATCATCCAATTCGCACGTTTATCGTTTATCGCTTTTGCAACATTGTTGCATCTATTTTGTTAATGACTGAGTAAACTAGATTAAATTTCAGATATGTCAAGTTTGCCGTTCGTTTTTGTTTCGGAATCACTCTGCCATTATCGAAATGTATACTTTTCTCATCAATAAATTAAAACATTTTCATTTATCCGCGTTACTGTCAATTGCAATCAACAATTTTTTTATGCTCTATAAAGAAACTCGATATAGAACTATAGGAAAAAATTCGAAAAAATATCTGTATCCTCAAAGAAAGATTCAGATGATGAAATAATTCTACTTCGTAACAAATATATCAATCGATTAAAAGAGATCTGTCACATTGAAAAAGTCATTGACACGATAACTACTATCTTTTCTGTTAGTCCTGCATTAATCAAAATCTTTAAAAGATTAAGTTTCCGGCGTATTCTATTACTAAGTACAATTATTTTTATATTTCTATATCACAACCATATTACTAATTTTCCAATGATTTATGATTCAAAACTTTTTCATATCTCTTTAGAGGCAATGTAAAAACAAAGTAGTGTGGTCGATTTTACGCCCGACAGGCCGGGGAATCCCCGGATTCACGCACGCACGTTTAGCATTTTTTTTTGTTTGGACGATCAATAAAGAAAAACAAATTTATCAAATGACCTGACACTCATTTACTGTGGATTTTTCCTATAGAGAGAAAGAGAGAGAGAGAGAGAGAGAGAGAGAGAGAGAGAGAGAGAGAGAAAGAGAAAAAGACGGAACCTGTTTAATTGTCCCGGAACATTCACTGCAGGACAACGTCATAAACAAGGCTACTTATTAATATTATTTTTCTTTTTTTAGTCTTCAGGACATTGAATATTTTCGGGGGATTTACATATCTCTCTTCCTGCGAATTTTCAATTAATATAAATGAAAATTTTCTATACATCTGATCATTTATCAACCAACAGAATCCGATATTTTCTTGTGCGATCAATCAGTCAAATCACCGACGAAATAAATTATTAAAAAATGAAAACAGATAAACCCTTAACGTGCATTCAAAGACTTTTAATATCAAGACGTCATATGTGATCATTACGTCGACATCCATCATGGAATTATCCAGCGATTTTCAGCTCTAAACTCTTGTTTTTTCCCATTCGATAAAAAATTGTTCGTGCGACTCATCCGAATTACGCACGTGCTTGGTCAGAATTTACGAAGTCATCCGTTCATCTTTGTTTTGCAGAGCACATTACGGAGTGCATTGCACACAAGCACACGACAGGATATAATCGGCATATTTTCAACAGCAACGGCATTTCAACGTTATTAACTTAATGTTTTGTGCGTCACGCTGAAAATATCCGAGAACTTAAACTTAAACTGTAAACTTAAACTCGTCTACAAACACGCAGGTAAGTGTGAAGAAAAGATGGAAAATTCAATGGAATTTACGTCACGGATGTCTGGACGCAATTCGCGTGCTTGGATAGCGATCGAAGCTCGCGCAGAGACTTTTCTCGTGCGCGTGCATAGGCTCATGTTTGCCTTCAATTATCACACGCTTTCTCGTACAATAGGCTGCGACTACTGCTAATGAGGCATTCCAGCTACGAAAGACAACCCTGTTCGTGCAAAGATACATTGAACTTCATGAGCGTCCTCTTCAGCGAGGTGTGTGATTAAGTTTTATTTGCAAGTTCGTTTAGATTTTTTTCATGTTTCATTTTTCTCAAGCGATTACCTTATTCTTATAAAGAATTAAAGGAAAGAATTAAAAATGTATGAATAAAGAGAAAACTCACTGTGCTTGAACTTCCCGCGCTGCGAGACCAGAAGATTGAGAGGTTTAGGAATCTTCTCAACTGGTATAGGTGCATCAGGATTAGGCCTTCGTCCAAAAAGTGCATTCCTCCCGACTTTCATGTACTGCCTACCAATTCTCGTTGGAGAGCCATCACCAAACAAACCCGCTAGGAACTTCATCTTCAACGGTACTTATTTCAAAACGACGCAACAAAAATGTCTTCCAAAACTCGGAAGTAATATATCCACCCGCCCGCCCGAAAGTTGAAGTGTGTTCCTGCTACTGTAATCAAACTCTAGTCCGTGGCGTTCTTGAATACAACACACCCACATCCATTGATACGGAGCCCGCTTCGCTCAATTGTTCGTATTTTAATAGCGAGAGCTTGAAGATTTCTTATCAATCGACCAAAAGAAGACGGTCAATTTTGAAATTTAACTGTTGATGATGCGTTTTTTCAGTTTTTACAAGACGAACATTCACTGATATCACGTGACTTCGCCCAACATCGTCGTTTTATACGACACGTGTGATTTTCTTATTTCTCTTTTTCCCTGCCTAAGTTATATTTTTTGTTGATTGCTTATCAAATAATACATTCGCGAGATTCGACTACTTTAAAAAACAAATGTTCGAGCGTGCCTCGCTTGCTCTTTTCACTCTATGTACGTCATTTCTTATGCTTTGCTTCACTGCACTTCGATTCTATGCACTTTGGAAGTCACTTTCATGGACAGTCACGAACTTTATTGATCTGGAACAAAAGAATTTTTTTTTGCATTATTTTAGAAAATATCGTATTAATAGTAAGTAACACAATGCAAAAATGCACGAATTTATGGGCTGTTAAACACGTCATTTTATTTGCGATTGCGGAGCATTGAACTCGCAATCTCTAAGATGTACATATTAGAGATAAATAAGTTTGAATTGTAGTTTGACATAACAAAAAGAAAAAAAAACAATGAATTTTTTTAGATTGCAAATGATGAGTTGTACCAAAAGAGAGAAGGCCAAATAACGCAATACGGGACTACTTGAATCATGGCATTACACGAGGAAAGTCACTCTCTAGAGACGATGACGCTGGCGATGCCTAATGCGATTGTAATAAATAGTGTAGCATTAATTTGATAGGACTGCGTAAGATGATGATGTTGTATTAGTTTTTTTTTAATTCGACTAGGAACCTTGAAGAATTTCATTGATACTTTACGAAAGTCAGCGACTCATTCGATCAGAGAGATGTGTTTGACCTTAGATTTTTAACTTGGATATAAGTGAATGGAATTTTGGTTCTGAAATTTAAAAAAATATTAATAAATTTTTTGATATTAATCGGAGTAAATAAAAATTCAAAGTTGTTACGACTTTACGTCAAAAACATGGAATATTCAACATCCATCTATCCAAATTATAATTCACAGTTATAAATTTGTTGCGTCAAACTTCGAGAATCACTGTCACAAGCAAAAAGTTCAGTTAAACACATCCGATACGGCATCGCACGCGCGTGCATGCAAAAAGAAAAAGCAACCAGAAAATTTTTTCCCACCTCTCTAGAGGCCATTAACTCTCGAAGTAATTTGCAATGACGCATGAGCTTTTGGTTTAAAGTCAATTTTACATGTATCTCAATATGCCTAAATGACAAAGCGGTAATGCACTCGATTTTTCTCCGAACTCCCTTGACCAATAAGAGGTGAAATCAAGAGAAGAAGCAAATTTTTACTTATGTTTCTGGATTTTTCAAGTTAATGATTTTTTTAATAAACAGAGGCGAGAATGCGATGCATACCAAAAATGTCGCAAAATATGGTGATTTAAGTGATACATAATTAATCAAGAAAGAATCTTAATAATGCTATTTATCATCCGACTTGTTTGTCGTATTCGAGCGACGATCGTTTTAACATTGCTGCGGTAAATCAAAAAAGAAGTCGCGCGATGGACAAGCCCGTCCGATACCATTTGAATGAATTTCGTTTTACTGCTATCATTTTTTATCTTTTTTCTTAAACACGCCATTTGTTAGGCATGGCCTTTCAATTGAAATTTAATTGGCGATTGAATCAGCATTCACAATTCAAGGTATCGAACGCCAAAATAAATTATTTCATAAAACAATATTTAATACTTGATCAAACTTTATTTGAAAATATTAAGATGCTAAAAACTTAAATTGTTATTTTAAACCAATTTAATAAAAGATTAATTCATTTTGAGAAAAATAAGTTACAATAACTTTAAGTACCTAAAGCATATCAAGAATCACTACTTGACCTTTTGGAAACAAAATTTTCTCGAATATTTCAAAAATTCGCAAATAAATATTTAATAAAACTTATTTTACATTATTCCTGTATTCCTTATCAATAAATGTTCACCGTGATAGAGATGTGATGCTTTTTGCACTCAACAAGTATGAAGCAACAACAAACCGTTCTGAAACGAACAGAAGAAAAAAAAGCATCGATAATTAAACAATCAGTTAGGCATACTTTTAATAGTGCTTATCGAAGTATCCCAATTGAATTCTGTCGCTTACCGTCACCAATCTTAACGTGATAATTGAGTCATCTGTCAACAGCATTTGTCAGTCACTTTATGTACTATACGTAAGGCAGCTTTGCCGAAAGTCACGACCGTGGTATTTAAATGTCCATTTAATTACGTTAGCAAGCAAAGGAAAAAGTCTCTCGGATGATCCTTTTTGCTACAGCTGTCATGTTCTTTCCAGTAACTAAGCCCTCATCAATGTTGCAACAATGATAAAAAAAGTAGCATGTCAATGCTAGTTATAGATCCCACTATGATTTACTATAATGATTCATGTAATTGTTGCAAAAAATGAGTGTCAAGTATCATTTTTGCTTTTAGTAACGTTTGTTGGTTCATTGTAAAATTATTATTGCCTCAGTACTATCATGTACTAACAACAAGTTCTCCTTTCAAACATAAGTCAAATGTACATCTAAATACTGTAGTCAAGGCCGCAAACCGTTTTCTTACAATACGGTATAGTTCGGTCGGAAACGTTCTCTTCTCGTTTTTCCATTGACAATTGTTTGCACAAAAATCCACGTCGTGCTACACGACCACATCGACGCTACTGACGCATGTATTACTCATTGAATCTAAAAATCCTTCTCCGAATCGTATACAAACTTCATTGAGCGCTTTAAATCAAAGACAATAATGCACTCGTTTGCGTAACTTTAAATGCAGCAGCAACGCCGAATTTTCTTAGTGTATATGAAACTTTTTAGTCGGTATCGCGCTATCTATACAGAGGCAGAAATCTATTGAAATAAAAAAGAAAAAAAAAGCTTAGCCTTTGTATGCGAACGCGCACGATTGCTATATAGGCGTTTGCAAAACCCAATGAATTAAGGGAGAGCGCGAGTAAAGTAAAGTGAACACATACGCGGCAAGACTTTAGCTGCTGTATGTTGCTTAAGTCTAAACTCTCGTGCTACGCTACGTTTCGACATTTAATGATCGATCCCGTGTGTCCCGAATGGAAAAGATACACCGCTGATGTTGTTTCAGCCAGATGAAAATGCAGAGTATCAGAGAGATGTTTTTCTAAGAGTGCATTCAATACGGCAATAAATTCGTGTATAAGATACGCGCTTTATGATTTCATTTAATCATGATCGACTCGCATAACTATACTCGAAGCAATTTTATCTTTTATTTAGATAACGCTTCATTTTTAGTAAACGAATATCGCTTTTATACACGAGATAACATAAATCTGTTAAAACGTTAAAATCTCATTTAGAGAATAAATTGTGACGAGTAGAAACATTTTCTATAGCTTTTTGTTGAACTCAGTATATTTATAACTATAATACATTCGGATAAGATAAAAACGTAACATTATAATAGTAAATTCAATGAAAGTGATTGTAAATCATAGATCGTCATGAATATTGCATATTAAATTATTTGAATGATGCATTATTATTTATCAAAGCAATAAAAGATAAAAATAAATGTGTGCATTTGCGCTATTACAAAGTTTTTCCTGCAAGCAATCGGAAGAACACATTGAACAATGGAATTTAGGTATTTACAAACAGTGTCCATCAGTGTACATATATATATATACACACTTATATATATACGAGCATCAAATCAGCTAAAGCTTTTATCTATCGTCCACGCATACGGTAATAAGAAATAGAAGCCTGGTGGGACTTTTGTGAAATGTTCATCTCACAGCATTTCATTACACAATTTTGCACCTTGTGCTAGCCGGAGCGTCTTATTGTGCAAGATGCACACGCACATGTACGCACAACTCTCCGCCGTAGCATTGAAAAGTTCGCGCGTCTATTTTCCAAGTTGCGCTTGAGCAATAATATGCTCACTCTCGCAAAAAATAAAATAAAAAATACATTGATACGGAAGAAAATAAAATAAAAAATCACGAGATAAACTGTTTCTCACAAATATAATCTTTGCAGCGTCGGCACGATAATGTAGGATGAAAAATTTAATTTTATCGCATCGCAAAACTCATCTGGAGCATGAATGAAATGCCGTTGCGAAAAGTTCACTTTCCGCATGTGTGCATACGTCTGTTTTATGATAACGGATCGAAACTCAAAGAGTGGAAAGAGAACTTCCGCACGTGCGTGTATTTACCGATTACAATGCAAAGTTCACGTGTCAAACATCATAGAGCATAGACGAAAAAAAATGTCTTTTTCTGAGTTAGAAATGCAATGCTGTGTACTTGACAATGAACTCTTTATACTGCGATGCACTTTGGACTTGCTATCGATCGACAGATTAGGCAAATTAGTGTTGTTAAAACTAAAGCATAACTCGATGATATCGACTAATTTTTTTTGTCATGATAAGCCAACGAGATAAAATTTCTGTTGATATTGGCGTTTTCGATCTGTAGTTCGACTGATGTTTTTCTGTTTTCCACTGTAAACAACATTCGTTGGAGAATAATGGAAAATTTAATAATAAGCTAACTTGCAATGAAGAAAAAAAATTGAGAAACATCCTTTTGATAGCGCAAGCGGCAATAAGATTAGAGCGCAACGATATCAAATTACAAAATTAAACAGTAGCTCTGTTGTGCAATTTATAATAAGACATCACCGCCTCATTTATCGAATCAATTTTCTACAATGTAGAGTTGTTGCATTATATCTCAGTTTGTAACCGCGCGCCCTGCCACCGCTTCGATGGCACAATAAAACGATTTATCGCCGGATTTCAATTTTATTATATACCATTCGGGCTCCGCTTTTTGCCGTTGAATTATATAGCTCATTAATAAAATTAGATTGAGAAGGAAAACGGTAAGAGTGCAGTAGTTACGTCCAATTAACTTGATATAAAAGAATGAAAAAATTTTTCTAATCCTAAATGAAACTATTTTTGTTAGGTTTATGGGCCAGTTTTTCTGTAAAATTTTCAGATATTTTTAGGTTTGTTTGAAAAAGTAGTTTAAAACGCGAGCTCTTTGCCAATATCAAACTACGATGTATATTTGATTCTCATTATCATCACCTGAATCATTTGAAATGAGTCAATTAATGAATGAATATATTGAATATGATTTTCTGTTATTTAACGTATCATAATATATCTTACTATGCCTTAATTTAATAAAAAGAATGATTGTCACGAATGATTAAAAATAAAAATGCACTTTAAATTTCTCTTAGTGTCCTTAATTTTGCATTACCGCGCAAAATCGAGTTAAATGTTAAAATCTCCGTTCAAACCCAACGTATATCAAAGACAATCAAGCCAACAAAGTTTCATCGTGTCACTATAAAAGCAAATCAAGATAAAGAACAGCGTGAGTCGACAGTGTATGTATACTTTAATCCGCGAAGACAGCAAAATTAACCCTCTCAAAGAAAGAATTGACAAATTTAGAGCAGTTTTCCAACGTTCACGCCTGTTGCGACTGTACGGACTTTCTTTTCTTTCTTTTTTTTTCTCTGTCATCGCTGTAGACGATGATACCAAAAAAACAAGCCAGGAGTCATTACAACAATGTGGTGAAATGCGCGGTGGCGGAATTCGTCCGTTATCAAGGCAGCAGAACTAGTTTCTTCGTGCTGCACTGTTTTTTCGAAAGTCGCATTGGACGCTGCCTCGGAAGTGCAGCGTGTATACACACATACACACTCGCACCGGTTATGAAAAAGCTTGAGTTGCGTCGATTATATTTATTCGGACTTAGAGAGCCATTCCTTTTTTTTTATTTCGTTAATTAAGCCGGCGTGGCGATGCGTATTCCGAAAGCTCTTTCGTTGGTCTCTGCAATAACCAGCTACACTGAATTTTACATACAGTGCACTAATTGTCGATTGTATATCAAAACTCGCTGGAGCTCGTTTGTTTAGTCACGTTGTATATGTGCGTATGAAGTAACCGTCGTCACGAAAGTAAGAGTTTTATTTCTCCGAAAGTAAAAGTAAAACTTGCCGGTTATACGTATCATTGAAGCAATTCATATTTCATGCATGGCTCGCTTTTTTTTCTGTTTCTAGACTTTCTTCATCATTGCAAAGAAGAAGTAGGTTATTGTGATTCGAAACTTTGCACACGCGCGCGCGCCACTCTCGTCTATTAGACGTAAAATTCAATTGTGTGCTTGCTCGGCACGCGCGTGCGCACATCTGAAATTGTAATTTTCATTACTGTGCATCGCTACTTTCTAATAAACAATGCGCCTTTGGCCATCATCGGTAAGAAAGAGAAGAGCGAGAGAGAGAGAGAGAGAGAATGAGAGAGAAGACGCAACGAAGAGATGTCATAATATGCAATATTTACTGACGACCTTCTCATCTTCTCACTTAAGTCTACTTAAAAACGAAAAATAAAAAAAAAAAAAAGAAGCTCAACGCCGTGAGAGAAATGTTAGCCTCGCGCCGAAGAATATAAAAATCGAACGGCAACATAGCTTACGGATTGCATATACACACACTTGTATGCAATTAAATCTTGCAAAATGGTGTATAATGTTAATTAAGACGTGAAATTTAAAGAGAACTGGAAGTAAAAATGAGTCAAGGTTAACTCTTTAATGTGGATAAGAATTGCATCGTTTTCTGCTTTTTAAAATCAAGATTTTCGTTGCTGAATTGCGATTACCAAACCTGACTGCTATTATCAATTTGAAATCGAAGCGAAACTTCACGGATCGACTGAAGAATCGTGTCAAGCGTAACGCGTTTCATTGTGTAACGAAGAAATGTCCAGAAAGAAGTTACCCGTTAAATTTTTTGTTTCGTTTTCGCAGACCAAAATCTCCGCGCGAGGAAAAAAAAACTCGGCGTAGCGTCGAAGAAAATGTTACCGCTTGAAGAAAGTGTATATGTATATAAATACGAAAAATCAGCGGTACGCAGGCGCGCGCGTGTGTGCGAAATTGATGTAATATTTACATAATACCAATAAAAGTCGCACGCGCTCGCGCTGGCTCTTATATCATTGTCTTCGAAAGATCTCCATATGAACGCTCGAAAGCCAGTTTTTCCAAAAACCAAGTGGAAGAACTAAAATTAACGCGCAGGGGAAAATAAGAGAAGAAAACTCACCGGCAATCCTATATGTTACGCCGCACTTACAAAACAAAATCCTCGAAATCGTTGCTCACTTGAACAAACCAAACTCAGCAACGAGACCGGAAAAAGAAACAAAAGAATGGATTTGTACACAAAACAGGAAGTCAAAAACAAAAAAGAGAGAGAAAAACACGCGGGAAGGGTGACGTAAAGTTCGAATTTTCCCGCGTGGTTGCTACGAGTCTTTGCGCGCGAAAATACGCGCACTCACTGTCGGCTCGTCGGTCGTCGGCGCTCAACTGGCCGCCTGAATCGATGCCGCGAGTTTGGTCCAAAGGAACGTTCACCGTGCCGATCGCGCTTTGATGCTGCTGTTGGCTGCTGCTGCGCTGCTTGCTGCTGCCAAGTCCAAAGCATTGGAACAGAAGGGAAGGGAGAACGCACACGCGGCGCAAAGCTGTTTCACGCAAAGGTGGGGTAATATGCTTACTTACTTACGCCCGACAAAGAGAGACAGACATAACTACATATTCCATCACTGCTAATGGAGAACGGGACGGAGACTCCTAAGTTTTACCGATTTCCGACGAATTATTTTAATTATGTCCGCCAACTACCATCTTTGCTAACAAATTATTGCGTCGGGGATTCTGCTTGATGGTCAAATTTGTTTTACCCAGAAAAATTTAATAAAACAATTTATATTGTTAACAAACGGTATAGAAAATGGAAGTAATCCAAAATTAATTTTCGGAATAATATTGATAGCTTTTGTATCCTTTAATAATTGTATACTTTACAAATGAAGAAACAGTGATTTTGACAACATAATTGTTAGATGAAAAAAATTAGAATAATTATTTAGTTAATTAGCTAAAATACTAGTGAAAGAAATAATAGGATAAGATATCTATTACGACCACCAAATTCACATTACACGAGGAAAGCGCATTGAAACATTTAAATGGAATAGTTACATATGTCTTAAGTGAAGTCTTTTAAAAGTAAAGAAAGAAAAAATGGAGAAGAATTAAAGAAAAAGAAACAAAACGGCAAATTTAAGTCTCCTTTTCTTTTTATCGGTAAAGGGAAAAATGGAACAGGTTCCTCGTTAGAACGGTACATTTCAGCAAGTGGACTGTCCCTTTTACGTGCCTGGATACACATGTGGGAGAATGTCTCTCATTTCATTTTTTCTTCCAAAGGTCAATCCTACGTAATTTAAATGACTGTTAGTGTATGACGATTTTATCTACTTGACTTAGAACCATGGCAAAATTCAAATGAACACTTTGGGCAAAGCTTCTTCTTTCTCTTTCAATTTTCAGCACTGTAAATTGCAAACCTGTTTCAATCTAATCATATGCATTTGTCAATGAATTAAATACGATGATTCAGACTATTCAATCAAAAGAAATGCCGACATGGTTGAATTTAAAATGAGATTCTCGAATTACAAAAATAACTCTATGAATTTTCATAAGTCAATTTCAAAGTAACTTACAAAAATTCACACGTGAATGAGTCACAACTGACCAGATTTATTGGTAATCGTTATGAATCTATTGCGTGCGTTTTTGAAATTTCTAATAACTATCGATGATTAGAACACAAAATTCAACTAACTTCTGTATAACCAGTTTTTCGTACCGATTTTCCAGCAAAAAACCTTTTTGCTATAAAAATTTTATTACGGTAAGATTACGAAAATATCATTTATCGTACATGAAATTAATTATATATAATATATTGATAGATGAATCATGTACAATAAAAGTTTTTACGATAAATTCGTAAACATTGAGTATCCGAATCGACAAAATTGCTAACTAGAATGATGAATTGTTAGAAATGTGCTCTTACTTTAATATTTTATCCCAATTTCCATCATCAAAGCAATTTCTTTACGATACGTTGGAAAATAATTTTAAAAGAAACGCAACATAAATCAATTAAGGAAAGTATTAATTCATCACAACAGAGCATTATAACAGACTTTGTAGAAATCAGTATAGCCCAAGAGTTCATCGATGTCGAACTCAAAATAAACAAGACAGTTTCTGTCACGTCAGTTGGCAATAAATAACCAAGCGCTCAAAGTGTATTCGATGAATGAAAAAAATTGTCGCGCGTGCTCTTTTGTCACAATCATGCCGTGCTCTCGCGTGAGGTCAATGTTCCGTGCTTGAGCGAGATAATCATTTCGAGCAAAAATCGGTGGAGTGAGTTCATTAACGACAGTCACTTGCATTACAGTATAGCCTTGAGATAAATGGGGCGACGCCGCCAACAAGCCCCTCGTAAATCCAAAAAAGTACAATCTCGATTTGATAACAGCACTATTTTAATTGTAACTATTGTTTACCACTTGGCACGTAGGGAGCTTTTTTCGCGTACTAATCGGATGGGAGGGTGACCACGCGTTTTGTTATTTTCGGCTAAGAAATTATTGAAGATCTGTATATTATGCAATAAAAGAAAAATATGGATAGTTCTGATGTTATTTATTTTTTAATAAGGTTGTGCTTTTATAAATTATTGCAATCATTAATTGGAATGACGATATGAAGGTGGTTTACACATAAAATGTTACTGCGATATTTATTGGTGAGTTGATGAAAGTTGAAGAAATGTCACTTTGAATTTTTAGATAATTTCACAGCTGTGATAATTCAAATAGACTTTTAAGTAAAAGAAATTTGTCCACGTTAACGATTATAATAAAATTCGAAAATTTTAAAAGAGAACTCAATCAATTCATAATTCCATGACTTAACAACAGCGTCACGCTTTCAAATAAAAAGCAAATACAAACACGTAATCGTCACTTGACAAAAATCTCGCAGATCCGTCAAATCATGGCCAGGAAAGAAGGTGACGTATGATTACGTGAACATATTATCATCAGTAATACTGAAATTAACGACAATTTCTACGTAGCTACCGATTTTTCATTTTGCTACATACATACACTTGTTTTTTTCTTTTTTTCTGTATTCTTCTTCGTGTGAGAATTAATTGTCCCTCGTTTAATACAAACCTTTCACTCTATTTCTTGAAGAAAAAAAGAAATGGACTTTCATATCAGATACCATTGTTATTATGTTTGATTGCAAATATTTTGAACATGATGATATGTCAATAAAGAATAATGGACTTCAAAATGGTGAGAAATGAACTGATTGGCTGAAAAAAATTATTTATGTAAAAATAAGTCATGAACAAGAAAACATACTGACAAATGAAACCTGTCAAAAGTGTGAATTTTAACGCGCGAAAAGTGAACATAAAAATAAAGCGGCACGAAAACCTTGAAAATGAAAAAATTCAGGATTTGTTTAGGTCGCGAACAAATTTTACATGTCATTGGTACGCGTAGCGGCAGAGATAAGTTTGCGAGATAAAATTTCACTTGTCCGTGAGCTGAGTTATAATTGTTCAAGTAAACACCATTGAAAGGGATAATCTAAAATGTCTATGTTACTTGGAGCTAGATCATCAGTGGATACGAAACTAACGTATCAAACCTCTTATTTATATTTTACTTCATAAATTTTTAATAATATATTGGAAAATGTAAAAACATCCCCAACTATAAGTTTTATAAAAATATGATCATTAAAATATTGTTAATGATTAAAAATGAAAAAAAAATTTTTAGTTACTTCATTTTTAATATCACTTTCTATTTGTTATTTTATAACCTATAACCTCTTATTTTATAGGATTTTATTTTCAAATGATTTAAATTTTTTATTTAAAGTTTCACATTTTTTTTATTATGTATTATTCAAATTGTTTACATTCCAACTTTTTATCTTTAGATCAGAAACTTAATATTCTTTAAACATGACCATAAAAAATACTAAAATACTAATAAATTTTTATAAACATCCAATTTAATTTCATTAAATTTCTTATCTTTCTGAATTTCTTTAAACATCAGAAAAAATAATATTCGTATAGGCATATTTAACAATACCACAAAATGCAACATCTCATTTATTTACTCCATCGCCAATTCACACTTATCACAATTCTTTCCTCTTACTTTCATCTTTTGCTGGACAGAAAAAGGCATCAAACCTTGCTTTTAAAATAACCATTACAAAAAATGTTACTTCCCTTTTTGCATTCCTCAATAACTTTTATACCTTCTCATCTTTGAATCACTTCAATTTTCTTTTTTTTGGCTCAGTTTTTTTTCATTTTTATTCAATCTTTTCTTTCGGCCTTAACCCTTTTTAAGCTTCTCATCATTACTACGCAAAATCGCGCTCTGGATTGTCATTCTTTTTATCGGAAATTTTCTTATTTGTTTCCTTATTTGTTGTTGATAATATTCCACAGTGAGAAATTTCATTTTCCTAGCTTTTCAAAAAAATCATTAACTTATGTGATTTTTTTCTTCAACTCGAAAACACCATAAAAATATACTGTTTTTCAGAGTCACTTAAGAGTATTTATGATATTATCCAATCCAATGTTCACAACAGTTATTATGAACTATTAAAAAAATCAAATCTTTTAAACAACTTATCTTAGGCAACTCGCACGTCATTAGCGACACTGTAATGTGTTTTTTTGAATTGGTATTTTTATTGAAAATCTTATCTGATGAAATAATAACTTTTTTTCTCATTTTGATCGAAAAGCTCACGAATTAAAAGAAATTATTTACTACTTCAACAAAACTTACATTGTCTCTAAAAAATTATACATGAAAAAGTACGATTTTTTCATGGCAACTTTATTAAATGATAGGCATGAGAACTTTCAATCATCTGTAACCGTGGTCGTTTTGAAATTTTTCATTCTTAATATTAAATAACCAAAAACTTTATAAATTCATCATTATTTTTCGCCGATTTATAAATATTTTTTTCAAAACTAGAAATCCATTTGCAGGCAAAAGTAGAATTTCCACGCCACAGTAGAATTCTTTGCATAGTATATTGAAGCAAAACGTAAATCGGTGACAACTACATAATAATCATGACCCGATACAACTCTCATTTCCAAAGGACTTTGTTTCTTTGAATTCTTTTTTTACTCAATATCGCAACTGATACCTATAATAAAGAAAGTTTCAAAATACATTTACAGTTTCCTTTGATTCATTTACAAAATATAATCGTTCCTTTGTGAGGTAACAGAGTGTTCATTTAATCGCGAAACATACTATTCGTTATAAATCTATACGAATGTCGTTAAAGCTGTCTAAACTAAATATCCATTAGAGATAAATTCCAAATGCGTAAAAATCGTGTGTATGTACGTGCAAGGTCCGCAAACATCCTGTTGCGAAAAATCTTGAACGTTCGCGCAAGAAAAATTGAAAGAGAGAGAGAGAGA